ATTCCCAGGAATGGAAGGAGAGGGAAGGGAGCACATGGAGGAGGATGGGAAGGAATGTGGTGCCAAGGGGAGCTGGTTCTGGAGCGGAATTCCCGGGAATGTGGAGCCTGGGAGATCCACGGTGGGGGCTCAGCGCTCCCTTGGCTCCCTGGGATCCCCCTCCAGGCCTGGGAATCCACACGGATTTCCCAGGGAAGGCCGGAAGAGCAGCTCGGGAGGAGCCTGGAGAGCCGGGCTGGATGCAGGGCTGGAATTCTGCCGGAATTTGAGGGGAAGGTGGAGGGAGGAGGAGGAGGAGGAGGAGGAAGAGGCTCGGGATTGTGCCAGGAATTCTGTGGGTGGGAGGCAGCTCCAGGAAAAGCGGGACGGGAGCTCCCGGAGCCATCCTCACCGGATTCCCACCCGGAGCAGGCAGGGAGATGGGATGGCACCCAGGGAATCATCCCAACGTTTGGAATTCCACTGGACGGAGCAGCAGGAAAGTGGAGGCAAGGAGAGTCCGTCCAGTTGGGAAGAGCTCCCGTTTTCCCGCGCTCGGAAGTTCGGGTGGGAATGTCGCGTCCTTCCAGCGGCATCCAGACTGGGAATTCCCTGTTTTTCCCTTCCAGTCCCTGTTTGAGCGCCAGGGAATGGCGCATCCCGGGGTCCTGGCGGGAACGGAGAAGCCCCACGTGTCCCTCCGGAAGGGAATTCCACGGACCAAGTCTGTAGGTGAGGAAAAACCCAGGAGAATCCCTTGGGAATGGGAAGGGAGGGTCCCTGTGGGATGTGGAGTGGGTGGGAAAGGCTCGACCCTTCCCAGATTGCTCTAGCTCTTGGATTTTGGAGTATCCTGTGGAATTCCATGGAATTCCGGCTTGGAGGGATGCCTGGTCCTGCTCGGAGTGGAAGGTGGGGCTGGAGAATTCCGGGAGAGAATTCTGGGAGAGAATTCCAGGAATTCCAGGATCGGCTCTGCCAAGGGCAGGGGGGCTCTGCCACCCCCAGTGTTGGCACTGGGCATTCCCAGTGGGAATGGCACCTCTGGAACTGGGAATGCTGCAGTGGGGACTTCGGAGGAGCAGGATGAGGTCTGGAGGAGGCACCTGGATATGGGGGATCCTTGAGCTTATCCCAAAAGATTTATGGAGTCTCCAAACCCAAAACCATCTCTGGTGGGTTCCTGATTCTGTTCCCAAAGATCTTTGGTGCCACCAAACCCAAAATCCA